ATTGCATAAACAAACATTGTAGGGACAGACAAGAAGCTCACTTCCAAGAAGCAGGATGGGCAAGAGAATAGGCCCCTGTCTGTTCACACGAGCGCAATAAACAACCTCTCTGCAAAGGAAGGGAGGGAATGCAGCAGGGACACTTCCCTGCACGAACAAAAGCACCCACAGCCCAGGCGTGTTCCCGTTTGCAATAAAGGAGGCCCAAAGGGGGTGAGCTCAAGAACTGAGCAAGAAGCTTCCATCGACAGTAACTCTCAGTCGTGCTACATCACCACCATGCCCGCTTCCTCCCAAACTCCTTCCCGACCCTACAACTCCCGGAGGCTGCTGCCTCCCGCCCTGGGATTCCAGACAGAACCGTGGGCACCAGTCCAGCCTCCAACCAGACGACTGGGTTCCTGTGAGTGAGACCAGAGTCCATGCAGCCTCCACTCTTCCCATCCCTGTGCCTGCGGGCAGGTCCCTCCCGGGGTAGCTGGCGTAAAAAGATACGAGCCTAGCCCACTGCTGACTCCAGGTGCTCCAAAAATGCTCCTCCTCCCCCCAAAAGAGCCACAAGCCGGGCCTGAGGAATTAACTAGAGAGGAGAGTTTCCAGCTACTGACGGGAGAAAGCAAGCTAGCTGCTGCTGAGGTGAAGGGGGGCGGGGGGGCGGGCATTACTGTTGGTGAGGAGCCGGCTTCCAGAGGGCAGCACCTGGCCTAACCGGGTCTGGCTCTGAGGTCTGACCACTACTAGCCATCAGTGCCGGCCAAGCTAAGGAAGCACAGGCTTCAGGATCCAGCACTTGAGGGCCGTCTGGCACCCTGGCCAGGCCCCAGCAGCGTGCCTGCTTGTCACCACTCGGTGCACTTGAACCTCCAGCACGCTGGACTGCGTGAAGACCACTTTTTTGACTCCACCTGCTCCTCTCCCCCTGGCAGGGGTGGGCATTCTGCAGATCCAGGAGGACGCTGCCGTGCAGATACATTCAGCCTGGGTTCCCGTGGGATAGAGACGCACAAGGCCTTCAGCCGCCTCTGGGTTAGCCGGCCGGCCCAGATGGACCAATGACTTCCGGGAAGACTCCCCCCTCTGGCCCCCTGTACCTACTTATGCGGCAAAAAGAGGAACCAATGCGTGGTTAAGGCTGGTGGTTTCATACGAGTATGTCTCCCAGGGCCCACCACCAGAAACGAGGGTGATGGACGACAGAGTCAGAAGGTTGTCTGTGGAAAATTTTTCCATTCGTCGGAAGGGTAAATTTTCAAAGAGAAGATCTGATTCTCCCCAGTCTTATCAAAATGGAAACTCTCTGTTAGGAAACTACTTGGTGATACAACACGTAATAAATAGACTGTCTCTGTTCCCCTTCCGTGTTAACTGTGAGACATTTAGGAGAATTCCCACACTTACAGGTTTTAAACCTACAGTCCTCAACTAGCAAGCCTGTGCTGAACCTGCATATTCGGTCAGCCCAATAAATCAGACGCATCTCATCCGGATGAGGTCTGGCCGTGCCAGACTTTACAGATGAAATGACACACAAAACTGCCAGCTAAGCAACAAAACAGCCCCAGGAAACACATTTTCGGGTGAACATACTCATCTACGAGTCATGATTAACCGATGGAGCACAAACACAACCTCAAGGCAATTTTTAAATGCATTCCAATCACTGTTGTGTATAATTTCGGAATAATTCTCTGTCTTATCATTCAAAAAAATCAAACATGATGGCCACTCTGATGACTAAAATAGACTTCTCAGATACACTTCATCCACGGTTCCTGAAAACGCTTCAGAGCCCTAAGGGGAACTGAGTGTCTTGTTGTTAACGAAGGTGACTCTTAGACCTCACCCGAGGGCACAGGCTGGTTGCCAGCAGGACCGACTGTGTGACCAGAGGGCTGGGACTTTAGGGTCCCCATTCTTCGTCACCTGCAGGGAGACGGGTGAAGGTTGAATCAGCCAATGGCCAATGATTCATCAATCACGACCATGTAATGGAGCTTCCATAAAAACCCCAGAGGACAGTTTCTTGGTCCCTTTCAGGGAGCTTCCACACTCGGGGCATCAGGGCCGCGGAGCCACACCCCAAGTTCCATACCCCAGGCTCCCCCTTCGCTGGGACCTCGCCCTACACACCTCTTCATCTGGCTGTTGATGCCTATCCTTTATCATGTCCCTTAATAAGCTAGTGAGCCTAGGGAACTGTTCCCCTGAGCTCTGAGCCGCTCTAGCAAATTAACCGAGAACCTACAACCTACAAAGGGGACGTCTGGAACCCCCAGGCTGTAATGGGTGGATGAGAAGCTCAGGTGACAGCCTAGGGCTTTCCAATGGCCTCTGATGTGGAAGGAGCAGTCTTGTAGGACCAAGCCCTTCACCTGTGAGATGTGATGCTGTCTCCTGGTGGACAATGTCAGAACTGGGCTGAATTCCCAGACACCCCTGCTGGTGTCCGAAAATTGCCTTGGGATGTGGGACCAGGAACCTGAAAAACTGGTAAAATCCAAAACCAGAAAAACAAGACTGGGGGAAGCTTCAAAATTTAAAAAACAAAAAAAACTTGTATTACAATGGAAACTTAAAACTGATGACTGAATTTTTGTTTTTTTTTTTTTTAAAGTAGGCTTCATGCCCAGTGTGGAGCCCAGAGCAGGGCTTGAACTCATGACCCTGAGATCAAGACCTGACCTGAGATCGAGAGTTGGACACTTAACTGAATGAGCCACCCAGGCACCCTTGATGACTGACATCTTAAACTTCCCGAAATTACCAATCATGAAACAAATGTTTTCATTCAACCATACTAGAAGAAAGACTGAACTATCTTTCCATGCTTTTACAGTAAAGCATATTCCAAGATTACTGTCCTGTCATGTGAAGAGATCTTCAATCAGCTAGAGGAGGCAACCCAAAACAAGGGGAGGGGGGGGGATACTATATAGTCTTTGCAAGAATAGAAAGGATTGTATTACTTTTCTGTGTTTTGACTTGTTTGTGGGTTTTTTTTTAACTTACAAGCTGTTGTGACGTCTTTTTCATTCTAAGTAAATTTTCATTTTGACACCCAATTTTGCATCTTTTCCTTAAAGAGGGCATTCTAAATTGTAAGGGTTTCAGGCCCCAAGGACACCAGCCTCTCCAGCTCACCAAGATGCCCCCACCAGGGAAGTCCAGGGCTTTCTCCTCTTCCCGTCTTCAGTCTTCCTGGGCCTTGGAAGGTTTGCCTTTGAGAAAAGGGAGGGAGGGGGTGGCCTCCACTCCAGACCACCCCCCCCCCTTACCTTATCTCCTGCCACACCACCACCCTTCCCAAGCCTTTCCACCTTACAGACCTTCCTGAATCTGTGTACAAATACTCCAAAAAACAGTACAGGGATGAGTCACAGAGGACCCAAATTTCTCAACAAATAAACTCTGCAAAATGGACCGTCTCCCACCAACCCCTCCCAAAAAGGGCATTTGCTTCTTAAAGATTTTCCAAAATGTGGGCCTAAGGTTAAGGAGGTAACTGTCCTCTAAATAAATTTTAAGAGCCAATGAAGACAGCATAACCAGACCATGGTACTTTTACCCGGCATAACCTTATCCCATGATCAAAATTTCTATGTTTTTCTCCCTCTTGTGATGTGAAATGTCTACACCCTAAATTTTTAAAACCACACTGCTACCCGTATTTCTCTTGTTGTCAATGTCAGAAATAAAAAGATACCCCCCCCTTTGTGAGAAGAAAAGGTGGAATCTTTACTACCCCCCCACCCACTTCTCAGATTCTGTCCAGATTTATGATTGATAGTATTGTTACTGAATAACTGGGGTCTTTTTCCACTACGTATTTTCCCTTGCAAG